AAATTTAGTAGATGTGTACATAGAACGAAGAGAGGGTAATTGTTTAGTTAAAAGAAAATCATTGAAGTGGAGAAAGAGAGAGAAAAACACGACGCGAGACAACATGAGACGAGCATAAAAAAGAAAGAGGTTGCACTAACATAGTATGCTAATACGATAACTCGTTAAACTATTTCTTTTCAATAACTCTTATATTGAGAATACATTCCAAATAATCGAACTTTGAATTTTCTTTACTGGAAATTTACTTCTAGTAAGAGGCCATTAAGAATCGCCATCAAGCTTTCTTCAAGATGTAACTATTCGATTGTCAACAACTTAAAACCTGTTAAACGTAGATTTTTTTTAAAAAAAAAATAGATTTTATGAAAAGTAATTTCTTTTAAGAATAAGTGATTAAAAAGTATGGAAAAGTACGTGTATATTTGCAAAGTTATTTTATTAAGAGAATGTACGATTGAAAATGAGTTTGAACAAAAAATAATATTTAAAAAATCAGCATCAAACATGGGCTAAGTATCAATTGGAAGAAGCTTTAAGCATGTTAGTTCACACACTCCACTTAGGAACTGTCTTCATGATGGCAAGTGATGGTAAACCCTAAATAGAGAATCATGATTTAACAAAGGATTGTACGTGTTCTAAATATTCTACTCGATGATCAATTATAAAAGAGAAGTATTCAACTCTAAAATATTATTCAACCGAATGCTTTACATCATCTTTCATCAAATTGGTTCTTTCTTCGAATTATACATTTTTTCTCGAAATACAACTCTAATTCCCATATCACTTGTCTTTTCTATTATTTCATCCATGACAATAGCAAATCAGTATCCTTATAATCTTCGAGAAATGAAATAAAAAACTTATAAAAGTTCGATAACACCATCAATATTTATGTTTTCGCTGTTGAAAATTAACAAATTAACAAAAAATAAATATGAATGAATGGAATTGGCAGCAAGCTGTTATGGACTGTGAAAACTACCTTTGGTAACGAGGCAGGGGCAATACCATAAACAATCACATAAAAAAA